AAAATGGCAGGCTAACTGGAATGGGATTAGAAGCACTGCAGAATGCGGATGGATGCATCATAATTACTGAGGCCTAGATTACCAACGAGATAGGAATATGCCGCGTTACCTGTGAAGGCTGAACTTCCAGTCTATGACAGGCCAGTCGATATATGAGAGGATTAGGTTTACGGATCCCCAGTTGACACGATTGGAGAACAACGTCGAAATGACTGTTGAGAAACTGAGTCATCAGTTTATTGGTCTTCTCATTGATATCGTCAATCCAGTTGTTAGTGATCACCCCAGTCTTATAGCCTGGAAAATTATCCCAACCAATGGTGTAAAAGAGAAACTCATATATAGCGACAGGATGAATAACAGACTATTATATACAGCGACAGAAATGACAGCATGAAAACTTCTTGACAGGCTAAATTTCAAGAGAGAACCTTTGCAATTTGGTAGAATTTGTGAACAAAACATTTCGGTTGTAATATGAATGTCCCTGCCTATACACATAATTTAGTAGAGAACCCTTTCTCCAATGGCTCAAAAACTGCAAACTTTGGGAAGTTTCTCCACAAAAGTTGTCACATTATGATTATTTTCCATCTCACCAGCCTGCTGTATGGTGTCCACAGCTCTGACCATGGCAGGTACAGGTCTCACTGAGCTGGACATGCTCTGGAACAGAACCGAGGCTGAGAACCCAGCGGCACAGTGGAGCCGTGAGACTCCACCACTCTCTCCACCTCACTCTCAAACTCTGGAAAGAACTTTCAACAAAGAGAAACGAGCCGAAACTGGAGACGACTCGATGTCCTAAGGGCTAGCTACTAATTCAACTGACAAGGCAAAATTAGTCAAGCTAACAAGCTAATGTTGCTACTAGAAGCTAGTTTAACCTGTGAGAGCGTCAGTTCTCCTCTCTCCAGCTTACAAAAGGCATTGTTAGGTTCTCCAGACACAAACGCTCGCACCAAAGTGCCCCTGAGAGAGGACGAAGATGGAAATGTGCGTGGAGACTCGCCCGCTGTCAGAGCTCACAGAGGTAGTCCGTGCTCCCTCTCCACCTCAGCGATGGCGAACTCTGTGGCGGCGAGAAGAGGACTCCACCTACATCGAACAGAACCGCCTTCACTTCGGCCCAGCCATTTTTGTGCATTAACGGTGCAGTCAGCACATTTTCATTTTTGCCGAGTCAGCAGATAGAGGTTTGGCCCGATTGTTCGCGCTTCAGCTCTGGGTTCTTGGCTAACTGGGGGGTGAAGACAGTGTCTACAGTATAAAGAACATGGCTCATCTGCCACAGGACGAGCTGCCGTCAGAATTTGACGTCGTGGTAGACGGAACTGGTGAGTGGGCAAGTGTGTGCTTTATAAATAGTCCCTACTATGTCGTCTACAGGACTAGTACAGAGTATACTGGCAGCTGCACATTCTAGAGCCGGGAAATCGGTGCTTCACCTTGATCGGTTAGAGAAGGGTTTCATTTTCGTATCTCCCTACTTCCCTAATTCCTCACCTACAGCAATTCCTACTATGGAGAGCTGTGGGGTAGCCTCATGCACAGGGAAATGCAGCAGTGGATGGCTGAGCACAGGTCACGTGATCCCGAGACCACACCCCCTGAATCACGTGATCCACGGCCCCACCCTCCTCCTCCCTACGTCCCCTGCGAGGGAGAGAGTGTGTTGGAGATAGTTCGACCTCATCTTCCTTCCTCAATCACTAACCTGGTGGAGCTCATACACACACAGTGAGACTGAGGGGGTGTATTTATATTAGAGAGGGAGTTCTCAAATTAATAGTTGAGAACCAATTGCCATGTAACGTTTCCTTGGCAAAATTTTTTGGGGGTAGGGACCAAAGGGAAGAACAAATCTGTGCTGGAATGGAAAGTTTCGCTCCAAACGTTTGTCTTTAACCCCCTGTGATGTCATCTTCTGTATCTCGCTCCTCTCTTCCTTTATCTTTCTCTGCTGATTGTGTCTTGTGCAGGGGAGAGGAAAGCTGTGGTGGTGAGGACGTGGAAGGTGTGACTAGTGAACATGACACTGAGGAGAGTGCTGTTGGTGAAGGTGGGAGTGGAGATTGCGAGGAGAGTGCTGTTGGTGATGGTGGGAGTGATGAGACGGATAAAGCTAGCCATTGATGAAGCTCCGCCCACTACACAACAAAGTTCGAAGGTCACCTGGCAGTCTCTTGAACCGGAATGGAGACGATTCAACTTTGACCTCATTCCAAAGGCAAGAGAAAACTCTATCATCTATCGGTGTTGATGTGTGTGGTGTTCAGTTGATCTTCTGTCGGGGAGAGATGGTGGATCTGATCACGGAGAGCAGCTGCAGTCGTCACTACATAGAGTTCAGGGCAGTCAGCGGGATATTCAGCTACAAACACAACTCAATCTTGTAGCAATGAAGGTAAGCCCCCTAATTAACCTTGCTAATGAAAACATCAAATTTCAATATTATTTTCTTAGAGTGAATCTACTCTCATGTTCTACGAAGTTCAGAAAAGTCGCCATATCTCTCACAAGGTATATATAACTAATGTACTGTAGTTTGGGGGTCAAATTTTCATTGTGATGTGCACATTAATAAGTTACAGTGTGTCATGCATGTCTGGGATGTGCATACATGAAAAGACTTCTCTAGGCTGTACTTATGTGAAAATAAGCGACACAAGTTCCCACTCCTTCTATTTTATCTTCTCCGGACATAGCATACTTCTTGAATAGAGAAGAATACTCCTCCACATGATTTACGATGCATGTTTCTGTCGTGCTATGTGAGCAGGTCCCAATGTGTACCGGGGAGCAGAGCAGCAGAAAGGGATGGGGATGGTGCCCAAGAGGGCGGTGAACGTAATGTCGTGTCAGATCGCGAGATTTCTGCAGCTGACACAGAACTCCATCATCCCAGTTGGCTATCACGTACAGAGAAAGGTGAGGGGAGAGAGATAACCTTTGTACTGTCTGTTCCATCTATCGTTTTCTTCTCATCTCTATTATCAAAATGTGTTTTTCCTTTCTGTGTAATGTTTTTTTCCACCTTATCACTATTTTTCGAGCCCAATAAGTTTTTCTTTATTCTCTATATCTAACTAACGGTATAAAGCATTTTCCCTCAATACTTAATTTCCATCTTCCTCTAGAGTCTGAGTGAGTTCCACAGCGACCTGTTCCCAGACACTGCGGGCAGTGAACCAGCACTCACTGCAGACCAGTGGTGCCAGGGACAAAATGGGAAGGTACAAAATGAAGGTTCGAGAGTGCGAGAAAAGAAAAAAAATCGCACCTGGCTGGGCTCGAACCAGCAACCTTTCGGTTAACAGCCGAACGCCACAAGTGCTTGCTTGGGAAGTCTTGCAAAGGACGTAGTTTTCCTATTGTTGTCTGTTGATCCTGGTCATGTGATTGTCATGTGATTGTCATGTGATGATCACATGATCTCTCTGCAGGTAGCTAAAGTCAGTTTGGATCCAAAGGGACAACCTAAAGCCGCATCACAACCAAAATCACACTCCAAACAGAACGGAACGAAATCCCCAGAAATCAGACCACCCTCTGAGGGGAAATCCCCCACCCCAGTCGGGAAATCCCCTACCCCAGGGGGAAAACCCCCCACCCCAGACTCTCGCTCCGTTTCTGAAGAAGAATCTCGGTCGTCTTCCTTCAGCCCGACGCCCAAAGTGCTGAACATCGTGCGTTTGTCAAAGTTTCGTCACATCCAGGGAGGGACGCTACATCGAAGCACTCACATTGAGAAACTGCCTAAACTGAGTGTGGCAGTGCCCGGAGACAGCAATGGCTTCCAGGTGAGTCAGTCAGTGACTGTAGCATTAGTAAGATAATGATGGGGGGAGATTGATTATGAGAGAGTTGAATCAGTGTAGAGCTGCTATTTAGCTAGATAATGAGGGAAGATGAATAGAAGCCTGCAGAAGCAATGTAGAGCTGCTATTTAGCTAGATAATGAGGGAAGATGAATAGAAGCCTGCATAAGCAATGTAGAGCTGCTATTTTAGCTAGATAATGAACTTTGATTTGAAAGAGCAGCCAGAACTGGAATGGTGTTGTTCTTTTGCAGGCAAACAGAGATTTCGTGGCTGCAGCTCTTGACATCGCTGGCGGACAGATTGGCATCTTCAAGGTTCGGGGAATAAATTACTCGCATTACGTCATTGTGATGTCATTATCCATCCACACAGCTGACTCACACAGGTCGTCAGGACACCGACGAAGTTCTGATGTTTCAGAATTCGGCAAATATCATGGACTTTGTCTTCGATCCTTTCAACAACCACAGATTAGTAGTAGGTAAGCCTGCATGATAACAATTCGTGGATGTTTGTCAAGCCAGCCCACGTATTTGTTTGAGTTATGTAAAGACGTAAGCACTGGCACACACTGCTTTCCTACTGAATTTTGAATTATGCAGCTTAGAAGCGTTAGCTGACTTGTATATACATCGTTTAAGGAAAGCCATCCTCTTTAAAATATTCACAGCATGAATCACTCTATGCAGTAATGTATGTGATTGTGTTCTCCCAATAGCCTGTGATGATGCCAGGATCAGGGTGTGGAAGGTGCCAGAAGGAGGCAGAGGAGGCACAGTCAAAGAACCAGAGTTCTTCCTCATCGGTAAAATCAACACCATACACCACCAAATGTTGTCTGAGTTGCGCAGAAATTGTTTCTTAATTTTTCCATGTCTGCAACACTAGCTGAAGTTTTGCACATTAAGGCTCTCTCATGGGAACTATATACAAACATTAGTGGCATCTCTCTCTCCTCTCTCTCCCAGGCCACCAGGAGAAGCCCAACCTCCTGTGTTTCCACCCCCAGGCCTCCTCTCTCCTGGCCACTGCTGGGTTTGACTGCCACCTCTTCATCTGGAACCTTGAGGAGAGAGCCATCTCACTCAGGATGGACCCTCTCCCTCAACCTGTGAGAATCTCTTTCTTCTTGCTCATGTCAACCATTATTACTTCATTTGCTCCCTTTTTGAGCCGAGCTCACTACATATTATGCTGGCTATTCAATGGCAGTTACATAGCTGTAGGCTAAAAATACCAAACTCTACTACAGTTCGTTTGACTTTATTAACATGCAGCTGTTTGCCATGAGCTGGAGTCCAGATGGTAAACTCCTAGCAACCATCGCCAGGGATCACGTCATCAGAATATACGACCCGCGAAACTCCACCTCCCCAGTTAACGAGGGGGTGGGGCCAGAGGGTAGCCGTGGCGCCCGCATCGTTTGGCTAAACAACACTCACTTAGCGGTGTCTGGATTCAACAAGTGAGGGGTTATAAAAAAAATTTTGATACTGCATTGAGAATTTGTTCACTGTCAACAGGACAAGTTCTCGGACCATTTCTCTGTATGTGACTTCTGACCTCTCGCGACCTTTGTCCTCTGTATCTTCCACCATCTCCCCGGCAACACTCGTTCCTCACTACGACCCAGACACCTGCCTCCTCTTCCTCTCCGGGAAAGTTAGTGTTTTCTTCCCTATTTCCTCTCCATTCAAGACATTGGTAACTGTCCTTATCCGAATTACCACACAGGCTTATCCAACACCCACACAAATGCAGTTCACGTGCAGTTAAACTCTTGCACTAGGGATTACATTTTTTGCTTCAGGTCTCATGGGTTTGTGTCTTATTCCCCAGGGAGACAACTCAATCATTGCCTATGAGTATGTGGAGGATAAGAAGCCATATCTGTTTGATGTTGCTCCATTTGCATGTGGATCCCCACACCAGGTGAGAGACAGACCTCCAATCACACTAACCATAAAAATATATATATAGATAACACATCTGCTTGCTTGCAAAACAAGATTCAGTATGAATGTGTGTTGTGGCAGGCAGTGAGTTACCTGCCCAAAGACCTGTGTGATGTGAGACGAGTGGAGATAGCAAGAGCTGTCAGACTCTGCAAGACTACTGTTGAACCCATCTTCTTCAAGGTCCCCAGGACTAGGGTGAGTTCAAAAGAAAAACATTTTTGCAAAGCTTTTTTTGCTGTGTAACTAACTTAGAAAGTGGAATTAATTTTTAGTAGCTGAGAGTGGTGCTATTGTTCAGTGAAAATATGCAAAAACAATCAGTCCCAGAATTGTACAAAATAAAACCAAGAAGGCCTTTTACCTACCTGGTTACCTTATGCCGTGTCAGTTAATCAATACGTTTAGTGCATCTCTTGCAGAGAACCTGTTCATTTACGTACCGTGATCTCAGTTCTTCTCTCCGATGCAGACAGAGTATTTCCAGGATGATGTGTACCCAGAGACCAGAGTGACATGGGAGGCAGCTCTGGCCAGTCAGGAGTGGCTCTCTGGGAAGGATGGAGTCCAGTCTTCTCTCAGTCTCAGACCTCATGACATGGAACCTTGTGAGGCTCTTAGCTACACAATGCTGACACACTTGCAAGACTCCCAGATTGGGAATGCATGTCTTATGAATGTCTTTCAATTACTTGCAGTGAGTGAAGCTCCAAAAGCAGCACCAGCTCCCAAGAAGTATCAGAGTTATAACCCAGACTTCAAGACTGATGAGGAAAAGAAAGAGGAGGTTAGTTCCATACTGTGGTATTCTCTGAGAGAATGGCCTAAATGTTGTTGTCTGTCTGGTTATCATTGGCTAATGCTGCCTACTCCCACTGTCCCCCTGCAGCTGATGTCAGTCATGATAGAGAAGATGGGAGATCAAGATGAAGACCCTCTACCTCAAGAGGCCATGGATGGCTGTGATAGTGACGAGTGGAGTGACTGAACTCCCGTTTCTTTGTTGAATAATTGTAAGATCCTTTTTTTTAGTGTGTACCCGTTTTTCCACATGTGTGAACCAATTCGTTGCTCTACTATAATTCTACATGGCAAAATACAAATGTGTCAGTACATTATACAAATTCTGCAGGCAAGTCATCATGGGATAAATAAAATCAGAGATAAATTATACGGTATAAGAACGTAAGAAATGTCTGTTTAAATGTTTTGTCACTGAGCAAGCTCTTGAGGGAAGTGGGGCCCTGTCTCTTGTATGGGCATCTCCCATGGTCCCTGCTCCTCCTCCTTCTCTTCCTTCTCCTGCTGTCTCTCGGTGCTTTCGTCAGTAGCTGGGGCTGCGAGCTTGGCTTCAGCTGTTGGTGATGGTACACCGGTCAGCATCTCTTGAGACCCGAGTGGATCTTCTTTAGCTCCTTCCCTCTCTTCCCAGCAGCTCATAGCTTGTTCTGCTGCTGCTAAGGCGATGAATGCTTTTAGCAGTGAATTGGCTCCAAATACAAAGTCCTAATAACAGCTAGCTTAGCTAGCTATATACATAGCTAGCTAGCTATGTATGATAGCTGATAACTGTATTTCTTACCTGAAACAGCTCGAGGATCCAGAGTAACTGCTTGGGCAGACTTAGATGATGCTGGTCCAGTAATCACTTCTTGGCCATGCTGACTCACTTCTTTCACTGTCCCCAAGTTGGCTATGCCTTGGTGTGCTGTGTAGCAAATACATTAGAAATGCGTGCTAGTTAATTGCGCTAGCTTCTACTTGCTGTTGAGCTCCGCGCTGGAGGAGCTAGGACCATCTCTTCGGGGATTTGTGGACCCTCTTCCTCCACGGCAATGTTCTCTTCCTGGATGTTCATGATGTGACAATCTGTTGGTCTGCTCGTAAAATATAATGGTCTGCTCGAGGGCCTGCTATACTACTCGAATGCGCTCCCTGGTATATACAATAACTAGCATCGTCACGCGATGCTAAAATGCTTCTTGTGCTCACGTGCAGCAGCTATAATAAGGCCACCATGGTGGCCTTATTATAGCTGCTGCACGTGAGCACAAGAAGCATTTTAGCATCGCGTGACGATGCTAGTTATTGTGATTACGTCATGCAAGTGGGATACCGTCATCTGCATGATCTGACAGTCTGCTGCATGCTGGGTGTGTCATGGGGTGTGACAGTCATCTAGTCTCGCGGAGCCAGCACCGTGCGACACCTGGTACATTTAGTTTAATTTACAGAGCGAGCCTGTTTGAGTTGAACAGTGAATAGCTCTTGCTGTTTCAAGTCGCCTAGGGCTCGCTGTAGTTTTATCGAAACTTACGCATGCGCACACCGCTTTAAGTAACTCTGATTAGCCTCACGGAGCCACGCCTTCTCAATCGGCTCCGCGCGCATAATGTTGGCATGCCATATAATCATGCGATATTACGTTTACTTCTAAAGCAAAGATTTTAGTGAGACATGACTAGAGCCATGACTAGAGCTATCTACTAATCAGTCTTTTCAATGGTCCACCAGCCTGACTCCAGCTCTTGAGCAGCGCCCCTTCCCGTCCCCAGTGCTCTGAGAGATCTGATGGTTGTTTCGTGTCTCGTAAACTATCAATGCTTCATGTTAATTACATCATTTGCAGTCATGTCCAACTTCTCTGGTCTTTCAGCTCTCACGTTACGTTCGTGACCGCCATCTATTGTCATCCCAGGAAACATCTGCTTGCCACATATATTGGATGCTTTGGCTCAGTATAATTATATAGCTGTGAGACATGTATATATGCATGAGGTGTCTTCGTCCACTCGTCAGTCTAAGACACCTGGAAAAGGGGAGGGTATAAGAGCGATGTGAAGTCGCGGAGGCGAAAGTACCTAGGGGAAAATGGGTTGATGGGAGATAGGAAGTCGAGGGGGGGGGCATCATGTCGGGAGCGACGTGGAGCACGCCTGCCCTGGGCAGTCGGGTGGGGGCGCGGGGGGTGGGAGGGGAATGGGAGCGAGCGATAGTGTGGATTGGAGAGGGAAAGGGGGAGGGGGGAGGAGTGAAACGGGTTATAGCGGATTAATGGGTTATGCTATTTCTTCAAGTGTGGCGTTATAAGACATGTGTCACTTTTTACCATATCACCACATTAGTATAAGTGCTGTATATGTCTCGCGCATGCTGGCTCGGCCAGAATAAAGTGGAGGGTTGTAATTCGGCTTTTCTATTATTAATCATAGTGATTTTTATGGAAGCAACCTGCGCAGATATGGTCGGGAGTGGATGTCATCACGTGTTATGAGGCCGGTAGATGATCCAACGTAGAGGGAGGAAGATGTGCAGAATTAAGGTTGCATCGGATTGAACGGGCTGTGGAACTTCTTCTCGTAGTCTATGACAGGCCAGTCGATATATGAGAGGATTGAGGTGTTTACGGATCCAGCAGGCTTGACACCGTGATTGGAGTAACAACGTCGAAATCTGTCTGTTGCAGGACTAGAGTCAGTCAGTTATTGTGTCGTCTTTTGTTCTAATTTGTAATACTCTGTCCGCAATCACAGTTGTTATGTGACTTTGTACGACCCCTGGCGTTGGACTTATCGCAGACCAATGTGTAAAAGAGAAAAGACTCATATATAGCGAGCAGCCGTGCTGATATAACAGTTATCTCGTTATATATACTAGTACGACAGACAATGACAGCATGCAGAACTGTCTTGAACAGGTCTATATTTTTATGTTCAAGAGAGATACCCTTGCAATTGTAGAAGTTTGTGAGCAGAACACAAACATTTCGGTTGTATATATGAATGCCCCTGCCTATACACATAATTAGTAGAGAAACCTTTCTCCATATGGCCTCAAAAACTGCAAAACTTGTGAAGTCTCTACCGTAAGTTGTTACACTATGATTTATTTTCCATCTCACCAGCGTGTTGTAAGGTGTCCACAGCTCTGATCATGGCAGTACAGGTCTCACTGAGCGTGGACATTCTCTGGAACAGCACGAGGCTGAGAACCCAGCGGGCACAGTGGAGCCGTGAGACTCCACCACTCATCTCCACCTCACTCTCAAACTCTGGAGAATTTCAGCAAACGAGACGAAACTAGAGACGACTCGATGTCCTATAGGGCTAGCTATCAACTGACAAGGCAAAATTAGCCAAGCTAACAAGCTAATGTTTGCCACTAGAAGCTAGTTTACCTGTGAGAGCGTCAGTTCTCCTCTCCAGCTGCAGAAGGCATTGTTAGTCTCGGCCACAAACGCTCGCACCAAAGTGCCCTGAGGAGAGACGAAGATGGAAAGTGCGTGGGAACTCGGCCGCTGTCAGAGCTCACAGAGGGTAGTCCGTGCTCCTCTCCACATCAGAGATGGCGATCTTGGCGGCGAGAAGAGGACTCCACCTACATCGAACAGAACACGCTTCACTTTCCGGGAAGCGGCGGCCCCAGCCATTTTGTGCATTAACGGTGCAGTGCTGAGTCAGCACATTAATTTTTCTGCCGAGTCAGCGCTATGCTTTATTGCTGAGTCAGCAGATAGAGGTCGGGCCGAGACAACGGGAGTGTTCCGCGCTTTCAGCTCTGGGGTTCTTGGCTAAACTGGGGGGTGAAAGACAGTGTCTACAGTATAAAGAACATGGCTCATCTGCCACAGGACGAGCTGCCGTCAGAATTTGACGTCGTGGTAGACGGAACTGGTGAGTGGGCAAGTGTGTGCTTTATAAATAGTCCCTACTATGTCGTCTACAGGACTAGTACAGAGTATACTGGCAGCTGCACTTCTACGAGCTAGGCCGGGAAATCAGTGCTTCACCTTGATCGGTTAGAGAAGGGTTCATTTGTGATCTCACTACTTCCTAATTCCTCACCTACAGCAATTCTATATGGAGAGCTGTGGGGTAGTCTCATGGCACAGGGAAATGCAGCAGTGGATGGCTGAGCACAGATCACGTGATCCCGAGACCACACCCCCAGAATTACATGATCCACAGCCCCACCCTCCTCCTCCTCCCTACGTCCCCTGCGAGGGAGAGAGTGTGTTGGAGATAGTTCGACCTCGTCTTTCTTCCTCGGTCACTAACCTGGTGGAGCTCATACACACACAGTGAGAGTGAGGACTGAGTGTATTTACATTAGAGAGGGAGTTCTCAAATTTAGTTGAGAACACCATGTAACGTTTCCTTGGCAAAATTTTTTGGGGGTAGGGACCAAAGGTCACCTGGCAGTCTCTTGAACCGGAATGGAGACGATTCAACTTTGACCTCATTCCAAAGGCAAGAGGAAAACTATCATATATCGGTGTTGATGTGTGTGATGTTCAGTTGATCTTCTGTCGGGGAGAGATGGTGGATCTGATCACGGAGAGCAGCTGCAGTCGCTACATAGAGTTCAGGGCAGTCAGCGGGATATTCAGCTACAAACACAACTCAATCTTGTAGCAATGAAGGTAAGCCCCCTAATTAACCTTGCTAATTAAACATCAAATTTCCATATTATTTTCTTAGAGTGAATCTACTCTCATGTTCTACGAAGTATCAGAAAAGTCACCATACCTCTCACAAGGTATATAATTATAATACTATAATTGGGGGTCAAATGTGCATCATAATGTCATAATATAATGCCTGGGATTTCACATACGAAATATTTACTAGGCTATACTTGGCTACAAATCCTGATAATGCATGATAAAACATGTAATACTTTTTGCTCCATCTGAATAGAGAAGAATACTCCTCCACATGATTTACGATGCATGTTTCTGTCGTGCTATGTGAGCAGGTCCCAATGTGTATCGGGGAGCAGAGCAGCAGAAAGGGATGGGGATGGTGCCCAAGAGGGCTGTGAACGTAATGTCGTGTCAGATCGCGAGATTTCTGCAGCTGACACAGAACTCCATCATCCCAGTTGGCTACCATGTACAGAGAAAGGTGAGGGGAGAGAGATAACCGATTTTATGGTCATGTGATTGTCATGTAATGATCACATGATCTCTCTGCAGGTAGCTAAAGTCAGTTTGGATCCAACGAGGCAACCGAAAGCCGCATCACAACCAAAATCACACTCCAAACAGAACGGAACGAAATCCCCAGAAATCAGACCACCCTCTGAGGGGAAATCCCCTACCCCAGGGGGAAAATCCCCCACCCCAGACTCTCGCTCCGTTTCAGAAGAATCTCGGTCGTCTTCCTTCAGCCCGACGCCCAAAGTGCTGAACATCGTGCGTTCGTCAAAGTTTCGTCACGTCCAGGGAGGGACGCTGCATCGAAGCACTCACATTGAGAAACTGCCTAAACTGAGCGTGGCTTCGATCCTTTCAACAACCACAGATTAGTTGTAGGTAATGACCAATCCTTGAGTGTTTGCATACTACTTTTATCTGTGTGTATTTCACTATTGGCGAGTGAAGCAAGCCCTCCTCAATAGTTACATCCGGCACACAGTAACATATTCTGAGATCACATTTATAAGGCAGTTTTAATGTCACCCACATTCCGTCATGACTATGTATGTCTTGTATAGTCAATTATCGTTCTGCAGTGTGACTGGCAACAGTCACACTTGCCAGTCACACGAACAATGCTATATTCATGGAATATTCATAACATACACACTATGATTCTCGTGCATAACAGTACTGTATGAATCTCTTCAAATGTCATGTTTCCCCCATAAAATTATTATAGCCTGTGGCTACCTAGGAAAAGAAAGAAGAGGTTTGGTTGTATACTTGTCATACTGTGGTATTCTATGGTGGTAAGTGTTTTGTCTGTATGGTTATCATTGGCAATGCTGCCCACTCCCGCTGTCCCCTATATACAGCTGATGTCAGCCATGATAGAGAAGATGGGAGATCAAGATGAAGACCCTCTACCTCAAGAGGCCATGGACGGCTGTGATAGTGACGAGTGGAGTGACTGAACTCATAACATCTTTTTTAGTGTGTACTCATTTTTTCTCTCTATGCATCAGCACTGGGTGTGAACCAATGAGGTCAATTCGTTGCTCTACTGTAATATGTATGAACTCGAACTTGCTTAGATAGGACAAGTTGGTTGGCATTACAAATAAACAACAATGTGAGTACATTTGCAGGCAAGCCATCATGGGTATAAATTATTATAGGCATTACAAATACACAGCAAAATACCATTATACATTATAAAAACAAGTCCTCATGGGTAAAAATAGACAGCATCATACAAAACATAAAATGTCAGGTTGAGTTCTTTGTCACTGAGCAAGCTCTTGAGGGAGGTGGGGGCCTGTCTCTTGTATGGGCATCTCCCATGGTCCCTGCTCCTCCTTCTCCTCCTGCCTCTTGCTGTTAGCTGGGGCTGCGAACTGGGCTTCAGCTGTTGGTGATGGTACACCGGTCAGCATCTCTTGAGACCTGAGTGGACCTTCTTTAGTTGCTTCGTCCCTCTCACTAATAGCTTGTTCTGCTGCTGCAAAAGTGATAGAATGCTTAATTTTAGCAGTAAATAGGCTCCAAATATAATATATAGCTAGATAGCTAGCTAGATTGTATTTCTTACCTGAAACAGCTCGAGGAGTAACTGCTGGGGCAGACAGAGATGATGCTGGTCCAGTCTTCACTTCTTGGCCATGCGGACTCTCTTCTTTCACTGTCTCCAAGTCGGCTATGGCTTGGTGGTGTAGTAAAAGTGCGTGTTAGTTGCAGCGCTAGCCTGTCATACGGTTATTAGCTATACCTGTTGAGCTCCGCGCTGGAGGAGCTAGGACCATCTCTTCGGGGATTTGTGGACCCTCTTCCTCCACGGCAATGTTCTCCTCCTGGATGTTCATGATGTGACAATCCGTTGGTCTGCTCGAGGGTCTGCTATAATACTCGATCCAGTATATACACGCTCGCTGGAGCGCCGGAGCACGGTAAATCGTAACCTTTTTTCAGGAGTGTATATACCACAGTGCAGTGGTTGGGGGCGCTGCGCACTGCCGCGCATATATATATGCGCATGCCCGGTAATGCACGTGCACGTACCGAAAGGTTATAGGTGTTCTAAATACGCGAATTATGAAGTGCCCCGTACCGCCAAACCTAATTTCGAAGTCGATGTAAATACGCGAATTATGAAGTGCCCCGTATACCGCCAAACCTAATTTCGAAGTCGATGGAATTATGAAGTGCCCGTATACCGCCAAACTAATTTCGAAGTCGATGGAATTATGAAGTGCCCCGTACCGCCAAACCTAATTTCGAAGTCGATGGAATTATGAAGTGCCCCGTACCGCCAAACCTAATTTCGAAGTCGATGTAAATACGCGAATTATGAAGTGCCCCGTATACCGCCAAACCTAATTTCGAAGTCGATGGAATTATGAAGTGCCCCGTATACCGCCAAACCTAATTTCGAAGTCGATGGAATTATGAAGTGCCCCGTACCGCCAAACCTAATTTCGAAGTCGATGTAAATACGCGAATTATGAAGTGCCCCGTATACCGCCAAACCTAATTTCGAAGTCGATGGAATTATGAAGTGCCCCGTATACCGTCGAAGTCGATGTTTATAAATAAGTCGTGTAATTAAATAGCGACGAAACGGAATGAAATTTCGCAATCGTCTTTGGGCCGTGATGAATACTGGCACTAATTCCACTCCATAAGCCCGATCGATCGCTGCCTAGCCTACTGCCATGTCAACTGCTTGGTTCATTAGGGATGCTGGCCAAAGCACTGTACTGGGCTCTGCTGCTCGAGAGGGGCGTGGCAATGCTCTTCCTGGAGGTGGAGTCATTCCATTTCCGGCTCCACTCTTGCCCCAACCCAGTCCTGATCACACCCCCGAAGGGATGGAGAGGAAAATAAATAAAAAAATGAACAGGCAAGAGAGGAGCTTCCACCCGGCGACGAGCGAACCAGCAAAATGCCCCGACCACGTGCTCCTACACCAAGGCACATGCGTGCATCGTAGCCGGCTCGTTAAAGCAAAGATTTTAGTGAGACATGACTAGAGCTACTACTACTATCAGTCTTCTCAAATGCCAGCCTCACTCCCAGCAGCGTCCCCAGTTCTCTGAGAGCCTGATGTGTCTCTCTCACCCTCACTGCAGTCATGCCAACGTCTCTGGCAGCTCTCACGTTACGACCCAAGTCATCCAGAAACACTGCCTACAAATAGATGGCTGCATGAGGTTCTTCTCCACTCTATATATTTGCTAATGAAGCGAGCACCTAGTCATTTTAATTGTGTGAAAGACAGCATTTTTACCATACAGTATTGTTGCACCTAATTCTAAAAGGCTAACTCGCATTAGCTCGCCAATGGCTAGTAAAGGCTCTATTAAAACTGGAATTGGGATTAGAAGCACTGCAGAATGCGGAAGGATGCATCATAATGACTGAGGCCTAGATTACCAACGAGATAGGAATATGCCCTGTTACCTGTGAAGGCTGGACTTCCAGTCTATGACAGGCCAGTCGATATATGAGAGGATTAGGTTTACGGATCCCCAGTTGACATGACTGGAGAACAACGTCGAAATGTCTGTTGAGAAACTGTGTCATCAGTTTATTGGTCTTCTCATCAATCCAGTTGTTAGTGATCACCCCAGTCTTATAGCCTGGAATAATATCCCAACCAAATGGTGTAAAAGAGAAATTCATAGTGACAGGATAAAAACAGACTCCTACAGCGACAGAAATGACATGAAGAAGAATTCTTAGTAATAATAGTTACAAGGGAGAAACTTTGCAATTTGGTAGAATTTGTGAACAAAACATTTCGAATGCCCCTGCCTATACACATAATTTAGTAGAGAAACCTTTCTCCAATGGCTCAAAAACTGCAAACTTTGTGAAGTCTTCTCCCGTAAAGTTGTCACACTATGATTTATTTTCCATCTCACCAGCCTGCTGTATGGTGTCCACAGCTCTGACCATGGCAGGTACAGGTCTCACTGAGCTGGACATTCTCTGGAACAGAACCGAGGCTGAGAACCCAGCGGGCACAGTGGAGCCGTGAGACTCCACCACTCTCTCCACCTCACTCTCAAACTCTGGAAAGAACTTTCAACAAAGAGAAACGAGCCGAAACTGGAGACGACTCGATGTCCTAAGGGCTAGCTACTAATTCAACTGACAAGGCAAAATTAGCCAAGCTAACAAGCTAATGTTGCTACTAGAAGCTAGTTTAACCTGTGAGAGCGTCAGTTCTCCTCTTTCCAGCTTGCAGAAGGCATTGTTAGGTTCTCCGGCCACAAACGCTCACACCAAAGTGCCCCTGAAGATGGAAATGTGCGAACTCGTCCACTGTCAGAGCTCACAGAGGTAGTCCGTGCTCCCTCTCCACCTCAGCGATGGCGAACTGTGGCGGCGAGAAGAGGACTCCACCTACATCGAACAGAACCGCCTTCACTTTCCCGGAAAGCAGCGGCCCAGCCATTTTTGTGCATTAACAGTGCAGTCAGCACATTTTCATTTTTGCTTAGTCCCTACTATGTCGTCTACAGGACTAGTACAGAGTATACTGGCAGCTGCACTTTCTAGAGCCGGGAAATCAGTGCTTCACCATGATCGGTTAGAGAAGGGTTTCATTTTCATATCTCCCTACTTCCCTAATTCCTCACCTACAGCAATTCCTACTATGGAGAGCTGTGGGGTAGCCTCATGCACAGGGAAATGCAGCAGTGGATTGCAGAGCACAGATCACGTGATCCCGAGACCACACCCCCTGAATCACGTGATCCACAGCCCCACCCTCCTCCCTACGTCCCCTGCGAGGGAGAGAGTGTATTGGAGATAGTTCGACCTCGTCTTTCTTCCTCGGTCACTAACCTGGTGGAGCTCATACACACACAGTGAGGCTTTTGTCTTTTACCCCTATGATTTCATCTTTTTCACCTTCTGTATCTCGCTCCTCTCTTTCTTTATCTTTCTCTGCTGATTGTGTCTTGTGCAGGGGAGAGGAAAGGTGTGGCGGTGAGGACGTGGAAGTTGTGACTAGTGAACATGACACTGAGGAGGGTGCTGTTGGTGAAGGTGGGAGTGGAGATTGCGAGGAGAGTTCTGTTGGTGATGGTGGGAGTGATGAGACGGATAAAGCTAATGTTGATGAAGCTCCGCCCACTACACAACAAAGTTCGAAGGTCACCTGGCAGTCTCTTGAACCGGAATGGAGACAATTCAACTTTGACCTCATTCCAAAGGCAAGAGAAAACTCTATCATATATTGGTGTTGATGTGTGTGGTGTTCAGTTGATCTTCTGTCGGAGAGAGATGGTGGATCTGATCACGGAGAGCAGCTGCAGTCGCTACATAGAGTTCAGGGCAGTCAGCGGGATATTCAGCTACAAACACAACTCAATCTTGTAGCAATGAAGGTAAGCCCCCTAATTAACCTTGCTAATGAAAACATCAAATTTCAATATTTTTTTCTTAGAGTGAATCTACTCTCATGTTCTACGAAGTTCCAGAAAAGTCGCCATATCTCTCACAAGGTATATAATTATAATACTATAATTAGGGGTCAAATGTGCACTATAATGTCACAATAATATAATGCCTGGGATTTCACTTAAACACCTACAAAATATTTTCTAGGCTGTACTTGGCTACAGATCCTGATAATGCAAACATGTAGTACTTTTTGCTCCATCTGAACAGAAAAGAATACTCCTCCACATGATTTACGATGCATGTTTCTGTCGTGCTATGTGAGCAGGTCCCAATGTGTATCGGGGAGCAGAGCAGCAGAAAGGGATGGGGATGGTGCCCAAGAGGGCTGTGAACGTAATGTCGTGTCAGATCGCGAGATTTCTGCAGTTGACACATCCATCATCCCAGTTGGCTACCATGTACAGAGAAAGGTGAGGGGAGAGATAACCTTTGTACTGTCTGTTCCATCTATCGTTTTCTTGTCATCTCTATTATCAAAATGTGTTTTCCGCATTCTGTTGGGTCCACCTTATCACCATTTTATTCTCTATATCTAACTAACGGTATAAAGCATTTTCCTTCAATACCATCTTCCTCTAGAGTCAGAGTGAGTTCCACAGCGACCTGTTCCCAGACACTGCCGGCAGTGAACCAGCACTCACTGCAGACCAGTGGTGCCAAGGACAAAATGGGAAGGTATATACAAGATGAAGATTCGAGAGTGTGAGAAAAGAAAAAATCCGCACCTGGCTGGGCTCGAACCAGCAACCTTTCGGTTAACAGCCGAACGCGCTAACCAATTGCGCCACAAGTGCTTGCTTGGGAAGGCTTGCAAAGGCTTGCAAAAGACGTAGTTTTACTATATACATATTCTTTTGTTGTCTGTTGATTTTCTGGTCATGTGATTGTCATGTGATGATCACATGATCTCTCTGCAGGTAGCTAAAGTCAGTTTGGATCCAAAGGGACAACCGAAAGCCGCATCCCAACCAAAATCACACTCCAAACAGAACGGAACGAAATCCCCAGAAATCGGACCACCCTCTGAGGGGAAATCCCCCACCCCAGTCGGGAAATCCCCTACCCCAGGGGGAAATTCCCCCACCCCAGTCTCTCGCTCCGTGTCTGAAGAAGAATCTCGGTCGTCTTCCTTCAGCCCGACGCCCAAAGTGCTGAACATCGTGCGTTCGTCAAAGTTTCGTCACATCCAGGGAGGGACGCTGCATCGAAGCACACACATTGAGAAGCTGCCTAAACTGAGTGTGGCAGTGCCTGGAGACAGCAATGGCTTCCAGGTCAGTCAGTGACTGTAGCATTAGCAAGATAATGATGGGGGGAGAATGATTATGAGAGAGTTGAATCAGTCTAGAGCTGCTATTTAGCTAGATAATTAGGGAAGATGAATTGAATCAATAGAAGCCTGCATAAGCAATGTAGAGCTGCTATTTTAGCTAGATAATGAACTTTGATTTGAAAGAGCAGCCAGAACTGGAATGGTGTTGTTCTTTTGCAGGCAAACAGAGATTTCGTGGCTGCAGCTCTTGACATCGCTGGCGGACAGATTGGCATCTTCAAGGTTCGGGGAATCAATTACTCGCATTACGTCATTGTGATGTAATTATCCATCCACAGCTGACTCACACAGGTCGTCAGGACACGGACGAAGTTTTGATGTTTCAGAATTCGGCAAATATCATGGACTTTGTCTTCGATCCTTTCAACAACCACAGACTAGTAGTAGGTAAGCCTGCATGATAACAATCATGGATGTTTGTCAAGCCCGCCCACATATTAATTTTACGTAATAATACGTATAATATTCACGTCTTTGTTAAGGACCATGGCCATTTACCAACTCCATTCACCTCCCGCGGTCCTCTGTGAATATCTCATTCCATTAATTCACACTGCTTATCTCTAGCCAGATCAGCACTGGCACACACTGCTTTCCTCACTGAATTTTGAATTATGCAGCTTAGAAGCGTTAGCTGACTTGTATATACATCGTTTAAGGAAAGTCATCCTCTTTAAAATATTCACAGCATGAATCACTGTAGCAGTAATGTATGTGATTGTGTTCCCCCATACATAGCCTGTGATGATGCCAGGATCAGGGTGTGGAAGGTGCCAGAAGGAGGCAGAGGAGGCACAGTCAAAGAACCAGAGTTCTTCTTCATCGGTAAAATCAACACCATACACCACCAAATTTGGTCTGAGTTGCGCAGAAATTGTTTCTAGCTGAAGTTTTGCACATTAAGGCTCTCTCATGGGAACTATATACAAACATTAGTGGCATCTCTCTCTCTCCTCTCTCTCCCAGGCCACCAGGAGAAGCCCAACCTCCTGTGTTTCCACCCCCAGGCCTCCTCTCTCCTGGCCACTGCTGGGTTTGACTGCCACCTCTTCATCTGGGACCTTGAGGAGAGAGCCATCTCACTCAGGATGGACCCTCTCCCTCAACCTGTGAGAATCTCTTTCTTCTTGCTCATGTCAACCATTAACTAGATTCATCTTCTTTTGCTCCTTTTGAGCTGGGCTCACTACATATTATTATGCTGAAGCTATTCAATGGCAGTTAGCTGTAGGCTAAGATTTACAGCAAAAATCTACTACAGTTTGTGAAGCTCGTTTGACTTTTAACATGCAGCTTTCACTACATATTATGCTGAAGCTATTCGATGTAGCTGTAGGTTAAGAATACCAAACTCTACTACAGTTCGTTTGACTTCATTAATATGCAGCTGTTTGCCATGAGTTGGAGTACAGATGGTAAACTCCTAGCAACCATCGCCAGGGATCACGTCATCAGAATATACGACCCACGAAACTCCACCTCCCCCGTTAACGAGGGGGTGGGCCCAGAGGGTAGCCGTGGCGCCCGCATTGTTTGGCTAAACAACACTCGCTTAGCGATGTCTGGATTCAACAAGTGAGGAGTTCTTCAAAATGTTGATACTGCATTGAGAATTTGTTCTCGGACCATTTCTCTGTATGTGACCTCTGACCTCTCGCGACCTTTGTCCTCTGTATCTACAACCATCTCCCCGGCAACCCTCGTCCCTCACTATGACCCAGACACCTGTCTCCTCTTCCTCTCCGGGAAAGTTAGTGTTTTCTTCCCTATTTTCTGGTATCAATCCATAGGCTTATCCAACACCCACACAAACGCAGTTGACATGCTGCAAAACTCTTACACTAGGGATTAATTTTTTTTGGCTTCAGATCTCATGGATTTTGCCTCAGTATGTGTCTTATTCCCCAGGGAGACAACTCTATCATTGCCTATGAGTATGTGGAGGATAAGGAGCCATATCTGTTTGATGTTGCTCCATTTGCATGTGGATCCCCACACCAGGTGAGAGACAGACCTCCTATCACACTAACCATAAAAAATATATATAATTATAATTATAATAGCAACACATCTACTTGCTTGCAAAACAAGATTCAGTATGAATGTGTGTTCTGGCTGGCAGCGAGTTACCTGCACAGACTTATAATATTCAGTGAGGATTAATGGTATTCATTTGAATGTCGTCGTTATTCATTCAAACGAGACTGACATGCATGAATAATAATGTATATATGACTGCAATCTTGCGGTTTTGTAATTTGTAGGCAGTGAGCTTACACACAAATGCAGTTGACATGCTGCAAAACTCTTACACTAGGGATTAAGTTTTTTTGCTTCAGATCTAATGGCATTTTGCCTCAATACATGTGTCTTATTCCCCAGGGAGACAACTCTATCATTGCCTATGAGCATGTGGAGGATAAGGAGCCATATCTGTTTGATGTTGCTCCGTTTGCATGTGGATCCCCACACCAGGTGAGAGACAGACCTCCTATCACACTACCCTATAACAAGTATATAATAGCAACACATCTGCTTGTTTGCAAAACAAGATTCAGTATGAATGTGTGTTGTGGCAGGCAGTGAGTTACCTGCCCAAAGACCTGTGTGATGTGAGACGAGTGGAGATAGCAAGAGCTGTCAGACTCTGCAAGACTACTGTTGAACCCATCTTCTTCAAGGTCCCCAGGACTAGGGTGAGTTCAAAAGAAAACTGTGTCACTAAATTTTGATGGGTACAAACGGATTATTTTTAGTGCCCACTCTTGCAGAAAACTATGTACCACGATCTCTCCGATGCAGACGGAGTATTTCCAGGATGATGTGTACCCAGAGACCAGAGTGACGGGGAGGCAGCTCTGACCAGTCAGAGTGGCTCTCTGGGAGGATGGAGTCAGTCTCACTCAGTAACAGAGACCTCCTGACAAATGGACCTCGTGAGAAAGCAAAACACTCTATTCACACACTGATCATGTTGCACACATAATACACATAACACACTCTTTTACACACAAGATTACCAAGCTACCATATCTGGTAGCAATCTTGGGCATAGTGAATCGCAAACTGGTTACATTGGTGCCACTAAAGTCACAACAGTCGCCAAAGAGTCCTGAGTTGGAAATTCATTACTTGCAGTGAGTGAGGCTCCAAAGGCAGCACCAGCTCCCAAGAAGTATCAGAGTTATGAACCCAGACTCAAGACTGATGAGGGAAAAGAAGAAGGTTTGGTTGTATATTGTCATACTGTGGTATTCATGCTGTGTATGGAGATAATGGTTGTCTGTGGTTATCATTGGCTAATGAATGCCCTCTCCCGTTTCCCCCTATATTACAGTGAGCAGTCGCGCCATGATAGAGAGAGTGCAGGAGATCAAGATGAAGACCCTACCTCAGAGGGCCATGGACTGCTGCGATAGTGACGAGTGGAGTGACTGAACTCGTAACATCTTTTGTTAGTGTGTATATACTCATTTTTTCACCATGCATGAGCAGTGGGTGTGAACCAAGAGGTCAATCGTTGCTCTACTAAAATTATTATGAACTCCCAACTTGCTTAGACAGGACAAGTCTTCATGGGTTGGTATACAAATAAACAACATGTGAGTAGAAGTTGCAGCAAGCATCATGTGGTAGGCATTACAAATACAACATGTGGGTACATTATACATTATAAAACAAAGTCAGCGATGGTTGCCATAAAAGTACAGCATCAAAATGTTAGTACAGTTAAAAAGAGTTCTGTGTCACTGAGCAAGCTCTTGAGGCAAGTGGGGCCCTGTCTCTTGTATGGGCATCTGCCACGGTCCCTGCTGCTCCTCCTCCTTCTCGTTGCCGTCGTCGGTAGCTGGGGCTGCGAACTGGGCTTCAGCTGTTGGTGATGGTACACCGGTCAGCATCTCTTGAGACCCGAGTGGACCTTCTTTAGTTGCTTCGTCCCTCTCACTAATAGCTTGTTCTGCTGCTGCAAAAGTGATAGAATGCGTTTAGCAGTAAATAGGCTCCAAATAATACATAGCTAGATAGCTAGCTAGATTGTATTTCGTACCTGAAACAGCTCGAGGTGGGGCAGACAGAGATGATGTTGGTCCAGTCTTCACTTCTTGGCCATGCGGACTCTCTTCTTTCACTATCTCCAAGTCGGCTATGGCTAGGTGGTGTAGTAAAAGTGCGTGTTAGTTGTAGCGCTAGCCTGTCATACGGTTATTAGCTATACCTGTTGAGCTCCGCGCTGGAGGAGCTATAACCATCTCTTCGGGGATTTGTGGACCCTTTTCCTCCACGACATTGTTATAATCCATGATCCGACAATCCGTTGGTCAAAAGCCTTTTTCCGAGCTCCTTTCCACACTATCGGACAAGTCCCGACTTTCCGCACGATCGGTATATACCGCGGTTCGTGTCGAGTTGTGCGCGTGCGCAGATACACGCGCGCGCGCGCTAACCCTCGTGGTGCCACGCCTTCTCAATCGGCTCCGCGAGGCTAACTCTTTATGATCGCGCGCTGGCAACGCATAAGGTTGGCATGCCCTAATAATCATGCGATATAGCAGCGATTAACGTTTACTTTTAAAGCCA